TTTACGATTATTTCGTATAGTACCACAAGCCAATGTTTGTTCATTTTTTAATCTTTCTTAAAGTGTAATTGATGTAAAATAATTATCAAACATTATGATTCTTTGTTGTTTCCAAAAAGGTTTAGTCAACATAAGTACTACTCTTTCGCCCAAATTATACTTATCGAATTCTTGTTCYAAAGTTTCATTTTTGCCTTGGTATACTGAATATTTCAAAATGTAACCATTTTGATCCGCAATGCACCATAATTTATAACCGCGTTTGATGGGCTTCATGGGATTATACTGCTTAATTGTGCTTCGCCCCTTAAATTTTATCATTGATTCGTCAACACTTAATTCACGAGTTCCATAATATGCTTTGGGAAAAATTTTGTTTAGAGTATCGATCATAGGACGTAATTTATATAATTTATCTTTATTATTATTAGGTAAATTCGCATTGTCATTAACGTGAATATTTGATAATATTTCTCGAAATTGATCCCTATACATGGCTTTGGAAATCGAACGTACATGTAAATCTTCACTAGTATTCCAATATAACTTATATGATGGTAATTTATTGTATCCCATGCAAAAATTTATTCCCAAAAATGCATATAGTTCTTTTTCAGTTAGTTTCAAATTGTTGTTATTTTGTGTTGCGTAAAGATTACTTTGGAAAATTATATTGTCGACAATAGGGCGAATAAATTTTAGAAAAACATCAGTAGCAGTTTTGCAACCAGCAAACATATTTTCATTATATAATAATTGTTGTACGTCATATTGGGGCAGATCAGCAGTGATTTCATCTTTTTTTTTCCACTATCGATTTATTTCGATATTAGGTTCGATATTTTCAGGAATAACACCTCCATCAACCGGTACATTTACAACAATAGGCATTTGAGAAGTTTGGGACCTCAAAGTTCTAGTATCTACTATAGACGAACCTGATGAAGCACATTGATTTTGATTATTACTTTCAGGAAAATCAAAAATAATAAAGTCGTCATTGTTAACTATTTCAGTTACATCAGAAAGCTGTTTATTATGCAAAAACTTTTTACCAAGTTTTTTTACCTCATTTTAAGCTTCTTCGTTAGTCAAGATGTCATCCACATCATATTCATCTTCAGAATCTTCACCGTCGGGTATATCCATTGCTAGCCATTCCTCAAGCTCCGATACTTTTTTAGCACTCATTTTGATTTAAAAAAAATAAATTTACACACGAATTAATTAGACATAATAACATAAACTTGTGAAATATAAAAAAAAACACCGAACACGAGACGATTACACACTGATATTATGAACYGCGACAATGAGAGCGCGCGACAGCAAGAGCGCACGACAGCGTATACGACATACGTACGGACTGACGGCACATATGAGTCCCGGTACATAAATCTTAATTATTTTCGTAAATACTGATAATATGACGACCAAATATATTTTATTTCGTTGCTAAGAAGTATTGAAAAATAAATCAACGATTAGCATCGTCTGTAAATAGATTGTATACGCGAAATATATATACAAAGATACCATTACTAGCAGATAAGAGTACGGTTAGATTTTCCCAGCTATAATGTAATATAATAAGTCTAAGAATAAGTATATTTCACATTTTTTTTTTCAACATGTATTAGACGGGACTCTGATGTCCCGCCAGGCCAGAACATACCGATATCTAAAAGCATATATTTTCTATTACCGATTAAAGTGTCCGGGACTCGAACGTCCCGCTAGTACCGAAAGGGTTAGGTACTGACAAACATATACCATGCCATCTCTCTCTATCCTCTGCTAGGATTCTCCAATCAGCATCCGGTTCAGTCCGCTTGACACCTGGTCTTCCCACCTCAACCTTGGTCTACCAAGTGGTCTTACGCCTTTTGGAGAACCACACAGTACCTTGTGTACAAGGGCTCTTTCTTTACGCCATGCGTGGCCAGCCCAAAATAGCCGTCTCTTTCTAATATCGTCGACTATGTTTGGTTTCTGATATAGTTCTCTAATTTCTACATTCTRTCTGATTCTCCACTCTCCTGTATGACTATCTATGCAAGGGCCAAAAATCGACCTCAGAACTTTTCGTTCAAATACTAAGAGGTTATTCTGCTGTATCTTATRAAGCGTCCAAGCTTAGCATCCATACATCACCACTGGTCGAATAAGTGTTCTATACAGTTGTATCTTTAGGTTCTAACATTCTAAGACAATATTCTGGATTTAAACAGCTTGTTCAATCCAAAATAGCATCTATTGCCTGCATGTATTCCTGATTTTATCTCCTCTTGTATTTCATTATTTTGAGTTATAGTGTACCTAGGTACTGTAACTTCTGTACTCTGTTAAATTAATATGTCGCCACTTCCAGATGAGTGTGTACATCCTCCGGTAACACTGACCTCTATGCTATCATGTACTTTGTTTTTTCCACGTTTATTTCTAACCCAACTCTTTTTGCTGCCTCAAATAATTCTTGAGTTTGTTCGATGAGCTCTTCTTTATTTTCTGCTAACAGCACTAAATCATCCACGTACGTCAGAAGACTTATCTTTGTCTCACCTATTTGTACACCACCATGTTCAAAACTAATACTTTGTACCACTTTTTCTAGTGCTACATTGAATAAAATGGGCGATAATGCGTCTCCTTGTCTTAATCCTGTTCTTACTTGGGCTGCTGTTGATAAAGAGTTTCCTAACTGTACTTTTATTTCCATATTCATGGAGCTTGCCTTTATGAGGTTGACTAATTTTAGTGGGAGACCATATTGCTCTAGTATAGACATTAAAGGTTCACGATGAATACAGTCGTAGGCCTTTTTAAAATCAATAAATATCATGTGCACTTCTTTATTAAATTCCCTCATCTTTTGTAATATTAGTCTTAATATGAATATTTGGTCAATCGTCGATCTATTTTTCCTAAAACCTGCCTGATAGTCTCCCGGTAATTCGTCTGCCCATGGTCTCACTCTGTCTAAAATACAGTTTGACAATATTTTATACGTGACATTAAGTAGGGATATACGTCTGTAATTACTACACAATTTTCTATCCCCGTTCTTGTAAATAGGACAAATAATTGCCGTTTTCCAAKCTTCGGGAATCATCTCCTTTACCCAAATCTCCTTCACCAACAAATATATATATGTATACTCAGTTAGTTCATTTCCCGTGTTCGTGAACAGTTCCCCAGTAATTCCATCTTCTCCAGGGGCTTTGTGGTTCTTCAAAAACCTTATTTGCATTAAAATCTCTTCTTTTGTTGAAGCTGGGCAATTTGTTAGGTTTTTYGGGGAACCTGCATCAAATGGGAATGGGTCCTCAGGTTCGGGACAGTTTAAGAGCTCGCTAAAGTATCTAACYCACTTGTCTGATAATTCATCATCAGTCGTAATTAGTGTACCGTCTTCGTTTCTTAGAAATTGCTCGAYTCGCTTGTAATTTTTACTCAGAGCATTTATCTTCTTGTATAAGTTCCGAGTTTTGTGATCTGCTTCTCTTMTTAAATTTTGTACGTGTTTTCTTTTCTCGCATCGAAGTATATTACTTGCTTCCCTTTGCCTAGTCTTGTACTGTGTCAATTTTTTTCCTATTATCCAAATCGTTTAGCCAATTATTCTTAGCGATCTTTCTCCTCTGTATGGATTTTATTGAACCATGGTTTCTTTACTCGACGTTCTCTCCCTATCGCCTCTTCGGCTGTGTCTTGAATTACACTCTTCAGCTTTTTCCATCTTTCCTCTATTCCTTTATTTTACCACCCCACTGATTGGGATCCTATTTTTCTGTCTATCCGTGATTGGTACATATCACGAAAAATGGGCTCATCGTGTTTTTGAATATMAAAACGCCCTTTAGTTCCTATTTTCTTTTAACTGCGTGTCTTTTTGAGTGAAAMTTTCAATTTACMCACTACTAATATATTATGGTCTATATCACAGTGCACTTTTWACGTTTAGCACTGTATTTGCAAATCTTGAGTTTACCAACACATGATMAATTTGATTGACATATAGTCCGTTAGCGGACCTCCACGAACCTTTATGGATATTTTTGTGTTTAAACATAGTGCTTTTTATTCTAAGGTCCCTTTCATGGCAAGAGCCACTAGTCTACATCCATTGTCATTCGAAATTTCGTGTAAGCTATGCATAACTATTATAGGTTTAAAGTAATTTTCTTTCCTAATTTTCGCGTCGAAATCTCCTAGAATAATTTGTATACTATTTGCCGGAATGTCATTACAGACGTTATTGAGTAATGAGTAAAATTCATCTTTTTCTACTTCATCCTTTTCTCTGTTGRATATTTATAATATCATCACCTATTAATTATCTAGCTGTTAATAATAATTCTAGTACGTCATATAATTACTATTATTATGTAATAATAATTTTAAAAAAGAATATGACACGATGACGCGTTCGTCAACAGCAACGCCAGATAGACAACAGTAATTTTATTATTGTAACAAAAACGTGTCCCGAAGAGTAGGTATCGACCAAATCTTTATAATTTTTAAACAAATAAAATTTAATTTCAATAAGGATGAACTACCGAAATGTTTTGTTAAACAAATTAGGAAAACGATTGCAGATAACAAACGTATCATTAGATCTTCTCAACGTCAACTATCGCCGTTGTTACTGCTGCATGGTCCCGCAACAATCGCAGGATCAACTATAGTTTCCAGCCAACCATACCAAACGTTTGACGGTTAACTTACAGTCGTTGCCGCCTAAGTTCATTATCGGCTGAGACTGTAAATTGTATCAAGTGACRCAATAACATTTTTAYAACTCTATGGCGTTATATTTTACTATACTCTATGGCGCTATATTTTAAAATTTAATTTTGGTTCATTTTTGCAAAAGCATCGGAGAAGTAAAGACGATCTTTAATAATGTYCAACAGWAACAGTACACTTTTAAAAGTTTTGTGTGCAGCTGAAGCAGTTGGACATTTGGATGAACCTATCACATCAGGAAGACAGTTTTGAGTACATCCATTAAACTCTCAACGAGAAAAAAATGATTATTTTATGACACCTGAAGGTTCAGTACCATTTCAATATAATCATATATAACCGTAGTATAAATATTATGTAATAATTTTTGTTGTATGCTTTTAGTYGGTAAAATAAAAATAAAATAAAATAAGTATTGTTTTTATACAGAGCGTTTCAAATTTCATGTGACAGCAGATTTCAGCATGATATATTTAAATTTAAATTTATATTTATATTTAAATTCCGGCCAACCACACCAAATGTTTGACGCCTTGACGGTTAGCGGCATCACCCTGTGCGGTGTGGTGAAAATGTTGAACTGAACTGGAATTCCCAGCATACTTGATCATAGTAATTATGATTATTGATTATCATATTTTCACTAGGGTAATGATATGCATTTTGTATTTTGTGTTCAAATTTGAAATCTTTAAAAAAAAARTGTAAATAATGTTTGATTGTGAAAAACTTATCATAGAAGTAGAGTCCAGGCCATTCCTATGGAATATGGGACTGCAAGACTATCGCGATAGCGCGAAAAGAAAATTAGGATGGAGATCCGTTGCAGAAGCTCTCCATGCCAATTGRAATGAACTATTGTTCAAAGATCAAGATGAAATAGGTAAGATATTTGTATATTTAAGTTATAAATCATATAATATTGGCAGTAGAAGTCGTTAGAGGATTGTAAAAGTAAGTTCAAAGAAACATAGGTTATAATCACA